TTGATATAGAAGACGAAGGGCGTGTTGATAAGGTTTTGCGCAGAATGTGGCGTTACTGTCACGCGTATACCATTGCAAGTAATGGACTATCGGATGAAGAACGACAACCTATTTGGTATGTTATGGATGAGGTCGGTTCGGCTGTAAATCATTCTGATGACCCCAATTTCCGTTTGGTTCCCTTCCTGTACCTCAATAACCAAACAACATTCAGTCTGTTGTTTCCCATACGTGATTGTGCTTTTGAGGAACATGTGACACGCGATCTTGTAGAGTACGTAAAACAAGACACAACAGAACGTGATGCTTTACTTTTACCATGGCGTGCTACAGACTTACGTGAGCACAGTTTCGTACAGGTTGAACCATCTCCAGAGTACTTCTCAAGTGGCCATATACCAGAGTCTTTTCCGGAAGGAGAATTTGCCTTATTAAAACCTCAAATGAATCGCAATCAGCCCTTAAAAGTTTATAGTGAATACGATGTGTTAAGTACACATCTCACAGACCCTAGTTTTCAATTGGTAGCCAATCAATCGGAGGCTGATGTGCTTTGGTTAACGCATCATTACAAAAATTTCGCGGAGCTAGCCCGTGATACACCCAATAAGTTTGTAAACCAATTTCCGTATGAATATGTTTTGACTATTAAAGATTTGCTAGGAATTACGGGAAGACGTGCAGCTAAAGAACACCACAACTCTCAAACTTTGGAAACCTATCCAAGCTGGCTGCCTACAACCTTTAATTTAAAGACAGAGTTGCTGGAGTTCGCGTCATATTATCAACATCGTGCCGCCAAAGGTCTTGATAATCACTGGATAGTGAAGCCATGGAATTTAGCGCGAGGCATGGACACGCACATAACGGACAATATTGTACAGATCGTGCGTTTGCCAATCACCGGGCCAAAAATAGCTCAAAAGTATATTGAACGTCCTGTCTTATTTAAGCGTGCCGAGTTGGACGCAAAGGTAAGTTCATAAAAGCTACATCTTTGTGTTCAGATCCTAACTTAAATTAATTTGTTGTGTCTTTAAGGTCAAATTCGACATACGTTATGTGATATTGATAAAGAGCTTTCAACCGCTCGAAGCTTACGTGCATCGAGAATTCTTTCTACGATTTGCAAACAAATCCTTTAGTCTTGATCATTTCGATGATTATGAACAACACTTCACTGTAATGAACTATCGCGAAGAGGCGGCTTTGCGACATATCAAATGTGAAGATTTTTTACCTCTTTGGAAGAAGCAATATCCAAAATATGAATGGTCAATTATTGAAAAGGACATTTTCTCGATGTTACACGAGTTGCTAACTTGCGCAACAAAATTGCCACCGCCCTGTGGCATACCACCTTGCCAGCAATCGCGTGCATTGTATGCTGCGGATATTATGCTAGCTTGGGAGGGTCCGAAAGAAGGGACCTCTTCGTCACATATGCATCCGAAATTGCTAGAGATTAATTGGACGCCTGATTGTCAGCGAGCATGCGATTATTATCCAGATTTCTTTAATGATATTTTCAAACTGCTTTTCCTTGATGAAGATAACAATGAAAGATTTGTGCGTTTGGGTGCAATCGTTTAGAGAATATCAATAGGATGCATATGCTTTTACAATAGAGCATACATTTTTTTTTATAATTTTATTTTTATATTAAACAAAAACTTAAGTAATTTAAAAATGTTTGATTTAACATGTATAAATTATGAATTTAATCAATTTCGAGTAAGTTAGCGTCCTTAAATTTCGAAATACCGTTATATGAAAAGTGGGCGTAATTTTAGTCCGATTTCAATAATTTTCAACGTTTTGCTTTTACGTGGCATGAACAATAATCATACCGAGTTTGGTACAAATTGATCGAACGGCAACCGAGATACACATGTGGTCATAAGTGGGTGGTGCCACGCTCATTTTCCAAACTTTTATCATAAACGTATTTTTTTGATAAGGAATTGTTGCAAACATCAATTTTGAATAAATTAGCTTCAGTATTTATTGTCTTATCGAAAATTTCGTATTTCTCTAAACTACCGTTATATGGGATGTAGGCGTGGTCATTGTCCGATTTAAAGTAGATTGAATGAGGATGTGCCAAATGAGTGTCCGGCATGCGGAGAGACCCCACATGACTCGAAACATCTCTTCGCCCGGAAAACCCGGCAACCCTAACGGCTTTGTCCTTGTGGACGGACCCGATAGAGGCTGCACACTTCCTAGGGCTGCCGTTAGTGGAACTTGACGACCACGACTGAGATATCAACCGATCTGGGCGGGGTTGTGGTAGCCGCTACAACAACAACAACAACACATAAACACATGTAATCACAAGTGGGCTACGCCCATTTTACAAAAATTTATAATCTTGTTTTACGTTTAAAAATCGTAAATATCAATTTAGAGTGAATAAGCTTCGGCAGTTACTAAAATATCGCAGTTTGCCTATTTCTGAAAACAACCGTTATACGGAGGGTAGGCGTGGTTATTTTCTGATTTTGCTCTTCATTATTATACCATCCTCCTATGCTGAAAAGAAGTACACATACCAAGTTTCGTAAAGATATCTCAATTTTTACGCGAGTTGTGTGCACAGACGGACGGACAGTCACCGCTTAATCGGTTTCTTTTTTCATTCTGACCATTTATGTATACATATGTCCATATCTAACTCGATTAGTTTGAACAAAGTTATAATACCCTTGTGCACAAGGGCGCACTGGTATAAAAATGAATAAATTAAAAATGGACAAAAAAAAAACGAATTTTCAAACACTATTCCCCGTCAGGGAAGTGGTTTCACTGAACATACCACATATGACATTTGACACATATGGGGGAAAACAAGTAGATTCATATTTAATTATTTTGCTTTGTTTGGAAAAATTTGTGCAATAGTAGGACAAAAATTCTTTAATGATACATACATGTGTACTATATTAGAAAAGTGTTCTGTTTATATTCAAAGCTTAAAAGGACAACGAACGCATTGAAGTAAAAAGAGGGCTATTCTGGGCTCTGGCTGCATATCGATGGTTCGTGATATCTACACACGAATTTAATAGTTTTCGGGCAAATAACTATCTCTGTACAAGGATCGAAAAGGTATGCTCCAAGGCGCGTCCATATAAGGTGGTACATAGAATTTACACATAATTGTTTGCTTTTGATTCTTAAACTTTGCAAAATGTAAGAAATGTATAATGATGTTGGCGAACTCCAACTTAAGTAAAATTTATACATACATACATAATACAGTATATTTTGCTTAGCTGCACATGTATTCTATCATTCTTGCACGAATAACTTGCGCGCTTAACCGAAAAAAGCACTTAAGCGAATTTTCTTTACTACTTCAATGAGGAAGGTATCCGAATCCCTATGAAATCAAATAATGGAGGAGCACTTCCCACGTAGAAATTACTGCAAGCGAAATTTTTTCTTAATGGTATCTAACCAGCTATAAAACTACATAAAATGATAACGTTGTTCTGCGAGTCGAGTAAAATAAATAAAAGCTTGTAAAATTAGGGTAAGTGTAAAGCCTGGGTAGGTTAACGTAATATTTTCTTTGATAATTGATAATAGTTTTACCACGCTATGAAATGTGCCAGATTACCTTAGCGATAATCTCCGTTATATAAATGAGACGCATACATATTTGTTGAGAGAGAATAACAGCATCAGATTCCCGAAGTATAGAACGGAAGTGGACAAAAAAATATTTTTTATAAAGGCTTAAGTGCTTTAATGAATTACCAGAGTGTAGAGAGAGTACCTGCAGCCTACAAGATAGTGATATATCAACAATAGCGTGGATTGGAAACTAGGCCTTTCCAACCACCAAGATATCGAGATTCCGTGGATCGGAAACTCGGCCTTTTCGGCCACCCAGGAGATATCAAGCAACGGAGTAACCCAAAAACTATAGCGCGGATTGGAAACTCGGCCTTTCCAACCGTCTACATAACTTCCGGAAAATTGCATGCTTTTATATTGACATAAAATAATTGCAGTGATAAAGAAATAATGTTATTTAAAAATTTCCGTAGAGCAATTTGTATTTAATATATAATATTTAAATTTTAAATCTAAATCTAATTATAAGAATGTTAAATCTTTGTTGTAATATAAGTCTAACAGACTGTAAAAAATAAATAAATAAAATAAATAAATAATTTTTAGAGCAGGTATCGCTAATGTGCAGGCATGTTGAACGCATCTATCGGAACAGTTTCCTTATAAATGTTAAAAATAATGCTGCTGACGCGCATTTTGCGGTAGGTATTTTAAATTTGCACTAAAGCATAAAGGCAGCAAAGCAAAATATACTGTAGACTCAAGTATGTACACATATTTACATACATACTACATACCTGAGTACCTTAGTGTTCCGTAAATTTTTATTTTGCGTCCCGAGGCGTTATCGTACTGCGGATTTGCCTACTATACCTCTATGAATGAGTCAGTGAAACACTACGTCATTTAATATGAGGTTACCATAGGATGTTGGTTTTGTGGGTCAAAAAGTACAAATCAAAACAAAGTACAATATGTTCTTATCAGTGCTTGAAAAGTAAATAAAAATGCAAACAGAAACAAGCAGCTAAGCAGCAAATGGATCGATTGTTCCCACTATAGTCGGGCCTACGTAAGCGGAAAGGCCCATAATTATATCTGGCCAAAGACTGTCACTCCAGCAACACTCCCCAAAAACTCTGTGAGAAATTTGTATGTTGTTACAACAACAACAGTATTATATTTTTATAACACTTCTGGTATTCTTACTTCTATTCTATATAAAGAACCGACGGGCTTTTCTTTTCTTACTTTGAGTAGGTATATGAAAAGTATCAAACTCTGTTATCTATTCGTAAACTATAGTTCATAGAAATGTCATATTTCCGCAACTTAGTTCCAATTCGGTATTTGAACGTGTTTACGCATGCTGGACATTTTTAAAATTTTACAGACTAGAATACAGATAAGATATTGGTATGTAATTGGCTTTATTCTAGTCTTAGTTTTTAGTTTTATTTAACATACATAATATGTATGTATGTATGTATGGCGTATTACGCCAATGGCAATGTCCATCGAAAGTTGACATGTGACACAATTATTGACATGTGATTTATTAAAAAATTTCTAATTAAAAACATTTAATTGTTACTATATTACTAAGTTACCTGTAACTTTTTTTTTTTAATTTGTGCCATGAACGAAGAAACGGTTCCTCAAAAAAAAATCAAAATCCGTGGCATGTCTGTTGATCAGGCTTGCACTTCTGTTTTTTTCCACTGTTAGAAACCGCTTCGAAATGAGGATTTCCGGAGAGCCGATCGTGCTATTAAAAGTTTTAGAAGCGAAAGTCACTTTTATGCGGCTAGCCAAGCTGTCAATCTTGAACTTGTCATATCTATCTCTGACTCACATGTAGACTCCGTGCAATCCTCCTCTTCTATGAAGTATAATAAACATTTGCAGAATTTACTATATACCGAATTCTTTCGGCTTTATTGACTTGCTGTTCGGTGAATGGATACCATAGCTCAGTACTCCCAAATCCGTCCAACGAAGCCGTGAAGTTGTCGGAGGAAAGTATTGACATTTCTAAATAACATAAATATAGAAATAACAGAAATAAGAGAAGCACGGCCAAACACTAACATATTGTGTAAGCCAATCTATTATTATTTTTATTATTATTTCCAAAGAAAGAATAGTTCGATATAATTTACAGCTTAGTCGAGTCCATATACGGAGGCAGCCCGTTTACCTAACCGAACCTAATACTATTAGTGCAGTTTCAGTACAACTTCTAAAAATATTTTTATCCCAAGTGTAAATGTATTTTAATATATGTACACATTTTAATATAAATAATAAAAATTTTATTTTTTTTATATTTTCAGTTTGGGGGTTAAAAATTTAATCGGCTGCGCATTTACTAAATATGCGGCTAAAATTCTAGCTTCTTATTTCGAAACTCAAATATTCCAACTACCTACATGTGGGTGCGAAGCCGCGTATTAAACATACATATGTAAATTATGTCAGTGAGCGATGCCGATGAAATACGCTCAGCTGCTGAATCGCTGATAAGCTCTCGCACGAACATGGCCTATCGTGGTGCAATGTCTGTGCCGATACCGCCCAACTATGATATGTGTAAGTACTTTATATGATATTCATATCTTTGTCTTGCAATAAGCACTTGTCGTTTAAATATAGGGTGTGCGAATAGAAATCGTATAGATATTTGGATTTTATATTAATGATATAGAATATTAAAAAAAAAATGCAGAAATAACTTTGGCATGCAATAGTACATTAACGGAGATATAACGGATATGTTTTACTCAAGTGAATGCATTATTAGCCTACAATCTCTTATTTTTAACAAAAATATTTATTCATTATATTTCAGCACGCACACATTCCATCAACTTGATCACCGAAGAATTTCTGGGCGGTTATATGCAAGATGGTCGCATGTCGGTTGTACGTCGCTTCTTCTGTCTCTTTGTGACATTCGATTTATTCTTCGTTTCGTTATTGTGGTTAATTTGTATAATGGTAATATATAGTGACTTATGGCATCAGAATATATGTAAAAAATTATAATTATCTCATATTGTATAGATCAATGGAGACAATATATTTCAGGCATTTCAAAAGCAAGTGGTCCATTACACTTTTGGAACCTCTTTATTTGATGTAGTGGGAGCTGCTATGTGCCGTTTTCTAGTTTTGACGTTCTTTTATGCTTTGTTGTACATAAACCATTGGATTATAATAGCAGTGAGTTAATATTGTAGAAAATAAGAAAACTTGTTGCGCAATTTTCTTTAACAAACAAATTACTAAAAATATTCAAAATATAAAAATATAGACAGACGGCAGCATTAAAGCGCATTAAGAGCTGTTGTCCATTGTACAAGTAAGAACACAAAGCGAGTTTGGCGTCCGTAGTAGCCGGGTACGAAAGCCGCTTACTACAATTCAGTAGGGCTCAGGTTCGATTCTCGGTTCGAGCGATTGCAAACATTTATTTTTTTTTTTTTAGTTTCACTTTATTTATTCATTTTATTTTACTTTACTTTATTCTCTTTTGCTTTACTAACCGACTTCCAAAAAAGGAGGAGGTTATCAGTTCGTCGGAATATTGTTTTTTTTATGTATGTTACCGCATAACTTTGGACCACGTCAACCGATTTTCGTCGATAATTCTTTTTGCATCGGAAAGGTAGTGTCTCAGAGGTGGTCCCATGTTAATCTGGTTAAGATCCGATATACATATTTATTTTTATATGAGAGTTGAAGTCGGTTTTTTTTTTGCTAAAAAATTACTTGTTTTATTTCATATTATGTATTTAAAAAAAATTCCCCAACAACTATAATTAAATAAAAAAAAATAAAAGTAATAATTAAATGTATTAAAAAAAAAAGAAAATTCGACTGGCCGCTGAACTCGAAGCTAGCATCCTGGCAAGGTACAATTTTGATCAGATCAATTGCGCTGTTAACCCATATCGCACTGAATTAAAGAAGCAAATAAGTTTGCTTGCTTTCCCGGAGACCCTATATGCAATATCTATTATCATAAGTACGCATATACTTCCATCTCGCCTTTTGTTTCTACATTATTTCACACATAGGCATAGTACTTCATATGTGCATTAACACATATTTATATACATAGAACATTGACTATTTC